GCCGCGGCCCCAGCCCCGCCGCCGGCCCCCCCTCTGCAAAAGGGTGGGTTCCACGTAGAGAGCGGCCCTTCGCCGGGGAGGCCTCTGGAGCGGGACCACGGGGACCTCCGATCGCGCAACGAGATGCGATAGCAGCGTTTTGCGCGCCTGGTTTTGGCCCCCTCGCGCCTCAGCGCCCCCCCTGAGGCCGCGCACCAAGAGTCGCGCAGCCGCTTGGGAGGCCTAGCAGTATGTACAGATTCGCCTCCTTCTTCCTCGACTGGCCTCTTCTGGTGCCTCTGCGGAGGCGGGGGGGGGGGGGCAGCTGCTCCCCTCGAAGGTTCCAAGGTCCAAAGCGCCCAAGAGCCTCCCTCTTCGATGCTCGAGGGGTCGAGGCCGCAGCGCTTGGATCGGGCGTGGGCACGTCCAGCGCGGTGCGGGCACTGTTCTAGCTGGGCGCCCACGCGGATCTCGCCGGCAGCCCTCGCCGCCGTCACGCCTCAGCTCGGGGGAGGGGGCTCCCAAATCTCCCAGTATCACCGAGCGCGCTGCACTACTCGCGAAATGCCTGCTCGCAAACGGCCGAGAACAGCATATCTTCCTCTATGTAAGGATCGTAAATCCCCCGCGGCGGATCTGGGCCATTGGCGAGTAGTTGTTCGCGAGTAGTGGAACGACCTTGTCCACGGATGGGGTCCGAGTAGACGGAGTCGGAGGAGCGCACCGCATCGCCAATGCATCGGCGTTGTGCCTCGATGTGGAGCCCGACTTTCTTCGCGCGGGCATCGCCGATGCGGCGCGATCCTCCGACCCCATCTGGGAGGCCTCTGAAGTCCGCGGGTTGTTAGAGGTATCCCTGGCCCCTGGGGCCCCGAGGGAGAAAGAAAGAGAGAGGGAGAGGAGGAGAAGGAGGAGGAGGAGGAGAAGGAGAAGGAGGCGGAGGAGGAGGAGGAGAAGGAGGAGGAGGAGGAAAAGGAGAAGAAGCAGCAGGAGGAGGAGAAGGAGGAGGAGGAGGAGGAGGAGAAGGAGAGCAGGAGGAGGAGGACACGAATGCTACAAGCCTAGTTCTTCAAGTTTGCTTAAAGCCCCTGGGGCCAGGCAGGCCTCGTAAAGGGTGCTCTGGGGGCCGTGGGGTCATGGGGAATATCTTGGGGTCGCCCTGGAGATCCGTGGACTGGCCGCCCCCCTCGCAGGGTCCAGGACCCATGTCCCCGACGATTCCTCCGCAGTTATTCGACTTCTGCGTATTTCCTCGATTTCTGCGCATTTCCTCGACTTCTGCGCATGTCCTCGATCCATCGATTTTTCTTCGCATTTCCTTGTTCGATGCGGGCGTATTTCCTCGAGCCCCCGGACCATCCAAGACGGATCTGGGTCGACAGTCTACCCTTTGGAGAGTTGTTGTCGGAGGCCGCGCATTCTGAGGAGTTCTCATCGGCGGATGTCTTGGGACGGTGTGGTGACAACACTGCCGGGTGAGCCCCCCGGGGGATTCGGAGTATATTCTCGGGTCGGACGAAAGGATAAGGGCGGTTACGAAAATGGCTGCGTGCAGCCGATTTCGGCCCCGCCGCTGGGCGTCTGCCTCCCCATATGGGCGCCTCCCAGCGCCGGGAGACGTTGGGAGAGCCAAATGCGTGAGCCGCTTCGCCAGCCACCCTTCGAATCCTCCCCTTCTGTCCGACCCGAGATTCGGGGAGAGCGCACGGTTCTTGGGCTGCGGTAGTTCTCCGAGGGGTGTCTCGGGCCACGGGGGTTTTTGGGACCTCTAATCCCCCACGCCGTGTCGAGGGCGTCGAAAGAGAGTAGGCAGGGTGGCATGGCCAGGGCCAAGAAATCTCCCAGGTTTCAGTGCCCCCTCCTCTGCCATTCAGCGCTCCCTTGGGCCCCCGCTGCTCCGCGCACAATGCCTCGGGCCACGGTACGCCGAGCCCCCGCTTCCTGCCCCTTCTCCTCCTCCTCTTCCTCCTCTTCCCTCCTCCTTCCCTGGGCCAATCAATCCTCTTCTCTCTTCCCTCCTCCTCCTCCTCCTCCTCCTTCTCCTCCTTCTCAGAAGGGAAAAGGGTCCGTAGCCATTTGGCTCAAGATGCCTTCTTTGCGGGCTGAGCCCGCATTGGCAGAACTGGATACCGCTAGTCCGCGGCAGTGCCAGGGTGCTTGCGCCCGACATCCTCTTCGCGAGGACTGGTCCGCCCCAGTCCCTCGCCTGCCCCCTTCACTGGGAGAGCAGCCTCTCTCGCGGCGGCCATGGGAGGCGGCGGCAAGAAGGGCGGTGGCAGGAAAGGCCTCGGCGGTGGTCGCTCGGCTCCATCGGCAGGGGCCACGACGTACATCGCCTGCACGGCCTGCAGGTTCCGCTGGAACTTCAAGAACAACCACTGGTGTTACCAGTGCGGCGGCGCCCTGGTACCGAGCCCCTCGGAGGACAAGCGGCCTCGCGGCCAGTGGGTCTGGGGCCCGCCGCAGGCAGGCGCAGCGCCTCCTCCTGAGGCAGAGACTGCTGCCGACGCCCCTGCGGCCCCACCCTGGGCCCAGGCGGGAGGCAAGGGCGCCAAGGGACCGCCTCCGCCTCGGCCCGCGCCGAAGGCCCAGGCCGTCCAAGGCCGGCCTTGGGTCTATCAACAGGCGGGCTGGGTGCCTCAAGGCGGCCGCGCGGGACAGCAGCAGCCCTCCCAGCCTGCAGACCCGTTTGTGTTCTTCGAGAAGGAGCTCGGATCGGACTGCGACGAGCTGCTCAAGCTCAAAGCGGCGGTGCAGGCCAAGAAGGAGGCCCAGGCAGCCGCTGCTGGCGCGGGCGCCCCTCAGAAGGCGCCACTCCTTGAGGAGGAAGTGCGGGCCAAAGGTGTGGCCTGCAGGAGGGCGCTGGCATGGCTTGAGACCTGCGCTGCCCGCGTCTTGGAGGGCGAGCAGTGGCTGGCCGACGCCCAGGCCGCTGAGGACGAGGCGGCCGCCAGCGCTCACGCTGCGCAGCAGGACTGGGAGGCGGCCTGTGCCAAGCAGGTCAAGGCCAAAGCGGCGCCGCCTTCACCGCCGCCACCCACTTCTTCGGCGATCAACCTGTCGACGCTCGTTGATGAGGGCTCGCTGCAGATCGTGGACGGGCCGCTTTTCGACCTCTCGGGCTTGGAGCTCGACGAGCAGGCGCGCGTCGATTGGGAGCGCATCAAGCAGGAGCTGGCCGACAGCGTCCAGACCAAGGTCCAGGAAGTCCTTGGACCCTCGGCGCAGCGCATCCTGGAGCTGCGGGAGGAGGCTCGGAAGCTTCGCGCCAGGGAGGAGGCCAAGCGCAGGCGCGTGGACGGCAGCGACGCGGCTGGGTCTGCTGCTGGCCCCGCTGCTGCTGCTGCTCCTGGTGGGGCCGCGTCCGCAGGCGCCGCTGCGGCAGCAGGAGCTCCTGCTGGGGCCGAGGCCATGCGCGCCGCGGCCAGAGCCAAGGCCAAGTCTGCCCAGGACGAGCTTAATGCTCAGCAGGAGGCCGCCGCCTCCTTCGCAGAGCCCTCTCCTGGCGCCGCCCCCTCCCCTGCAGCCCCAGGGGCTCCGTCCACAGCCTAACGCAGAGCTAGGGGCGCCGCGCCGAGTTCCTTCGGCATGCTGTTACGGCGGGCGCCCTTGGCCCTACCCCGTCGAGTTCTTCCTCGACGCGGATGAGGAGCGCGCCTTCGGAAGCGATCCGCCCACAGCACCGTTGGAGGTGCGCAGCACGCCGACTGCGGCTCCAGGCTCGGCGTCACCAACCCCGCAGGCGAGACGTTCGTCTCCGTCGCGTTCGGCGTCGCGCGGTCCTTCGCCATCCCCGAGTGCGAGGATTTCGGCCACTCGCACTTCTGCGAGCGCCTCGGGTCAAGCCTCGCTGACGGGTGCGCTTGGCGGGCTGGCGTATGCTGCCCTTAATGACAGCCCCCCCCCCCCGAGGGCTGCGCCTCGCGCATCTACGGCACCGCAGGCCTCTGTCCCTGCCTCGCCGAGCGGCCCAGGTCAAGGCGCTGCTGTCGCGCACACGGCGCACATGCACGACGCCGAGCTGGACCCGTTCGAGGAGCTGGCGCTGGAGGAGGTCATCGACCGCTCCCCCCAGGACTTGCCGTTCGAGGCGGAGGTTGGCCCCTCGCCGCCAGGCGCCACCGCCAGCCCACCAGAGGTTAGCGCGGACCTGGCTGCCTGCAGCAGCGCCCCTCCTTGCGCTGGGGCTGGCCTCGGCGCACCAGCAGCGCAGGCCTTGGCCGCTCCAGCCCCCTCCAAGCTTACCACCGACGAGAATGATTTCTCGATCCTTTATGGTAACATCACGGAGTGGGGGCCTCAAGCGCAGCGCTATGTCAACACAGCCCCTTACTCTGTTTATTGTCTGGTGGAGACTCACGTCACCTCCGCCACGTTCCACTCCAAGACGGAGGTGGACCTTGACAAAGACGGGTGGAAGGTCTGCGCCACAGGGAGCACACCAACAGGACGAGGAGGCTCTTCTGGTGGCGAATGGGTTATGGCCAAGAAGCATCTGGCCACCACGTCACTACAGGCAGTTCGGCAACACGCACAAGCTGCACGCCAACCTGATCCTATGCGCGGGTTCGCCGCCATGATCTTGCACATGGCGTCGGGCAACCTGGTCTTGGTATCAGTTTATCTATGGCCAGGATTGGGAGTTTCTGGCAGAAATCGCCAAGTGTTGGTGGCGTTAGCCTCCTTTCTTCATGGTCTTGCAGACCCTTGGCTGGTTATCTGAGATTGGAACATCTCCCCAACGTCCTTTGAAGGCTCTGGCTGGCCTGAAAGAATAGGAGGCACCCTCCTTCCGCCTGCCGATGTCAGCACCACGTGCGACAAAGGGCAAGAGGGCTCGCTCATCGACTTCGCCATGGCCAAGAACGGGACATCCTCCAGGCACCGAGTTCGTTCGCAGCCTCAGGTACCTTGGAAGACGCATTGTGCCTTACAAGTTGACGTCCACGACGGCATGCGCAGATGGTGGTACCAGAAACTCATGTTACCTGAACCGTTTCCGAAGGTAGCCAGACCCAAGC